CTTTGTTGGTGGGTTTTTTGTTTGTTTGTTTGTTTGTTTGTTTTGAGGAAAATAAAAGTCTTTATGGAAATCAAAATGAGTGCTTGACAGTTTGCTAAGGAAATAAATGTAGGTCATATAGAGCCCTTGTTCACCAGAGATTGAGTGAGGACTGCCCATACAACTAGAAGGAACTTATGTTGCCAAGTACGATGAAGTGATTTGGTGAATCTTATTGGAAAAACACTCTGAGTGGTCACAGCCATTCATAACCTTTTCTATATCTGTATGCCTTCTCCACCCTCTCCTCACCCCCACGCCCCCTCCCTACACCCCTTTTCTGTTTCTGTTTCTCTTTTTCTTCTTTTGGCCAAAGACCCGAATTTTCCCAACTGTGCTTTCAAGTTGTTGTTTTTTCTGCAAAGCTGAAGGAAAAGGTGCTTAAAGAAAAGCTAGTAAATGGCCTATGCCTTCCACAGCTCCGTCACGGTCCTTATTTCCTGTCTCTGTAGCACGGAAGTGGGCATGCGGTAGGGAGAAATATTTGACATTTAGAATGTAGGCAAGAGAGTCATTTTGTCCGTGGTAACTTTCACAGAGGGTTCCAGAAACAAAGGCTGTTGGCCCAATGGGTTGCTGAATGCATTCAGTAACTTCTGGGTCTCCGTCGTTTGTTAGCCTGGACAGCTGAGTGGGTTGAAATAGTAACTCGGGTTAAATAATCGCGCACAAGGATCATCTGCAGAAATGCGGATCATCAGTAAACTTTTGTCACAGCCCAATGGGGTGACGTAGAGTTAAGTTAGTGGTGAAGAGAGGATTTTAAAGAAGGAAAGCATGTCAGGAGCTTGTGCTTTTGAGGTTGACATGAGTTTCCATTTGAGTGGATTCGTGCCGCTCTGTTGGGAGACAGCTCTGGGCCTCGTGATGATGTTTGATGGATAGAGACCCTCGCACAGCAAGTTTCGTGTTAATTAAAAGGAAAAATACAGCAGGAAGAGGAAAAGGGGTTCTCTGAACAATAAACTACACGTTTATTTAAAATTCAATATGGTAAAGATCTTTAGAATCAAAATGTAAAATTCCAAATATTGAAGACTGAAACTTTAAGATAATAGTTCCATTTTTCAAAGTGCTTTATGATTTCAAAGTATTTTTCAAAGTACTCCTAAGGGAGAGACCTCTAGTCTCTGCTGATGGAGCGAACACACTTTGGGGGCCACGAGGGAACGTGACAAAAAGCGGCAATCCCGTGTGAGCTTCAAAGCTCAGGTCAAAGGGCAGCCAGCCGAGCACTGTCCTGGCAGATGAGACAGACCCGGGCAAGGTCACTGGTCACCGCCAGATGCACAGAAGGGCGTTAATTACTGGCGCCGAGATCCTCAGAAGTTGCCACTGCCTCTGGAGGACACAGAATCACCTGCTAGGGGCCTTCTCAGGAGGGGAAGGGCATTGGTTAGCTCCAGGTGGGACCACTGCCCCATGGCTGGTGATTAGTTACTCAGCGTCTCTGAGTTCTGATGGAGCCACCTACGTGTGGAGAGCTCTAGGGAAGTCTAGTCTCCACTGTTCATGTTATAAAGGACTGTCCTCACTTGAGCAGAACAGAGTCAGCGCCTCCTTTATGTTTCAGATTAACTGGCTGAGATCCCGTCTGACGTCACATGTCTGGGAAGTGCTGGGCACTTTGCCGTGTGCCAGGCAACATGCTTGAGCTTTAGATGTACTGTCTCATTCATCCCTGTGAAGTGGGGCTGTTAGTACCCCCTCCTCCATTCTATAAATGGGGACGTTGAAGCCCAAGGAAGAGAGAGAGAGAGAGAGAGAGAGAGAGAGAGAGAGAGAGAGAAAAGAAAACTTCATGAAATGTCACCCAACCAGTAGAGCCAAGATTTTGAACCAGCCTTTTCACCTCGCCATGTTACAGGATCCAAAGTTGTGTCTTGTCCCATTAGTTCATTTTAGATAGGAAAACAGAGAAGGGCTATTGTAGGAAAATAGGCAAGTGAGACTGCAGTCCACCCATAAGCAAGATGCCTGCGGAAGTGACTGTCACAGCAGGGTCAGGAGATCGGAATGAAGCAGAAGCAAACAGTGGTGAGTGCAAGGAAAGACAGAGGCGTGCGGAATCCCCAGGAGACTTGAACGTTTCTCAAACTCCACTAAGGAGTCTGACGACTCACAGAGCCAGCAAGAGCCCGAGCATTGGTGGATGTGGTGAACACTGACTTGTCCTTGAAAACTATCTGATTCTCAAACTTTGGAATCAGAGACTCTTGGGCTAGGGTGTACATATTGGAAGTGATTCTGATCTGAATAGCAGTAAAGAATCAAATGAGGCACTACAAATTCAGGTTGGTGGATAACTCTTAAACCTTTTAACCCAACAATAGACCAGTAAATGAACCAGGTAGGTGCTTCTGAGAATGCTGATGTCATTTACCGGATCATCTCATCCAGTGAGGGAGGAAGGCCGGGAGAGACCGAGCAGAAACAGGCTGGTTCAGCCAGAGGGCCTCTTCCCTTCCAGGGAAAAGAGTGTTAGAGACCCTCTGAAATGCCAGCTGTGTTCCTGTGAGCACTCAGGGCAGGAGAGAACAAAGCACTGCGGGGCCAGTCCAGGTGCATCATCACAGCAAAGGCAGAAAGCATCCCTGACCCACGTTTGGCAAAAAGTCAGGATGAGTAACGTGGGAGAGACCCCGAGGCTCAGCATGCACGTGGTTCTTCACACGGTGTCCCACATGCTGTCATGAAAACAGGCCTTTGTCATAGCAACGCCAGTCCCTGGAGACATCTGACTGTCCTGCAACCTCCCCTGCCCCACCCCAGTGCAGTCAGCCAGTGTGGGCGCCTACCCCGCCCAGCACAGCCGGCCAGAGAGCTAGAGCGGGGTTCTCACCCCACCCCAGCACGGGGAGCTAGCAGCAGTAAAAGTCTTTTCAGTTTGCAGGCACTCTTTCCTGCTATTATACTTGATCTCAGTATTTTTCTTTATTTCCACCTCGTCTGTCCCATAGCTATGTTGACGGGGAATATTAGTAAATGGTCCCAGTTACCTTATGCTGGGGGGGAGGGGGGAGATTTTAGTGCAGGATGAAGAGCAGGGCTCTGTCCCCCGGGTGCAGATCCTGGCATTTGTGTGGCTTGGAGCATGCGTCCTTTCTCCTCGCCTGTAGAGTAAGCAAGTGACCTCACAGGGCTACTGAATGGATCCAGTGAGACCAGCCTGGATCACACAGGAAGTGGGCCACAAGAATCAGCTGCTGTTAGCCCTCTCCTGTGGTTCCTTCAGAGGTTTCACTTTGACGTTGGGTTTGGCCATTCGTAGCTCCTGGTCACTGGAAGCTAAGGACAGCGGAGGCTCGTCCGTGTCCCACAGGGTGGGCATTCTCTCAGCTTTACCAAGGCCGGCGTCTCTTCTTCATGGAGGGCGGGCCTTGGTGTCACTTCCGTGTGTTGATTAGGAAATGGATTGTGTTGCTATGTGAATCCTCTCTTTCTCAATATACCCAGGTTGGGGCATTTTCTCACACTGCGACACGCCAGTGGCTGGGAAATTGTAACTTGAAGGAAAGGGCTTACACATGGCAGGCCTTGGGGGAGGGGCAGACCCCCTGAACCTGGCACAGGCCCAGCCATGCCCGGTGTGAGCCCCCACCCCCACCCGCCCGCGTGTCCCAGAGACCAGAGACCTGGCTGAGCCAATCGGTGCTTCCTGTCAGAGTGAGTCCGGCCACTGCCGGCCTCGAGTGGGCCAGGGGGGCGGCTCTCACCGTTGCAGAGCTGAGTTCCTTAGTGATACCACATCCTCGTGTTCAGGAGTCCGTGTCACTCAGTGACATTCCCATTCGAGGTGCTAAACAGCTAGAACTTATCCTCTCCCAGAAAGAGCTGCGCAGGGGAGCAGGTCCCCTGAGACCAGGCCTTTTCCAGAAAGGACCGAGCCGCGATAGGAGACAGTGAAGCCTAGGAGGCAGTGAAGCCGGTCCGTGCATTTCCCTCCCGCCCCTGTCACCCCGGGGCTCTCTAAACACCTGCTCTGAAGGGGAGTTTCCCTTATCTTCCCTCTTCCCTAGCGGCTGACTGGTGTAACTGGGCTCAAATTATGTCATTAATGCAAGTCAAGTGCCCACCCACAGAGTGTTTGTTTAAAAGTAATTAATTCTAGCTCATTCCCTCAACAAACGTGTGCATCCTCTTTGTGCCTGTGCAAATGCCGTGGAAAAACAAACCCTATGTGGATAGAGATCACAACTAAAAGTCCATGAGGAATTTGGGCACGATGCCAGGAAGCCAGTAAACATGGAATTATATACATTTTACTCGCGAAGGAGAAAGCAGGAGTGGCACTGTGAGAGCATGACCAGGGGAATCCACTCCGGATTGAAAAATCAGGGAGGGCTTCTTTGAGGAGGTGATATGTAAGCTAAGACTGAAGGAGAGGGGAAATCAACTAAGTAACATTGGGGACCCGGGCATTTCAGACAGAGGGAGCAGCAAGGCACCGTGTCCTACGAGCGATGGTGTGGGAGAGAACAGCAGGCACCAAGTCCTGAGGCCCAGGAGAGGGATTTTGTTCTGAGAGGGACACTGAAGCCAAAGCAGGATGGTGATGATCCAAATTATGTTCTCAGAGGTCTCTCGGGCCACTGGGTGCCAAGGAGACTCAAAAAGAGCCAGAACCCCACAGAGGAGGGCATTGGTTGCAGTGCGGAGGTGGGGGGAGGGGAGGGGGGGGACGGGGATGGGGTGTGGCAACGCAGACAGAGAGAAACGTGCTTGCAGGCAGAGCCAGGACCTGCAGGGGACACGGGAGAGAAGGCAGAAAGCACCCTACCCCCTGCCTTTTCACGGCTCACTGCGCAACCGGCTACCCACCTTTCCTTCTAGGTTTTTCAGGAGAATCACAAATCTTTCCTTTCTGAACCAGTTGATTTTGAGCAAAGCTTAGGGTCTCAGGCCAGCCTGGAGTCCGCAGCCACGGCCTGCAGGCTCACACGCCCCTGTCTGTTCCCCAGCCCGCCAGGACCTCCTCCGAGAGCATCTATTCCAGGCCGGGCTCCAGCATCGCCGGCTCCCCGGGCCACACCATCTACGTAAGTCTCCGCTTCCGGAAGGGGCTTCCGGGACAGGTCCCCGTCCTCCTCGTGGATGGATACTGCAAAGTGGAACAATCCAGAATGACTTAGGTCTCTGTTCTGAGACCATTTTTCACGTTTGGGGATCAGCCTTCTCAATCACGTTCTCCTGCAGGCACTTAAATTTATCTGTGAATCCAACCATCCTGAGCTACCAAGTAGATGGCCCCTAACACGCAGAAATACGACGCAGGACTTAAAAACAATTATGCCTAGCTTGCAGCTAGATATTTGATATTTGGGAATTAGTTATACATGTTGTTGTTGTTGTTGTTTTGTTTGTTTTGTTAATCTTCACCTGAGGATATTTTTTGCATTGATTTTTAGAGAATAGAAGGGAGGGAGGGAAAGAGAGAGAGAAAAAAACATCAATATGAGAGAGACACATCATATGGTTGCTTCCACACACGCCAATCAGGGCCAGGAATCAAACCTGCAGCCCAGGTACATGCCCTTGGCCACGAATCGAATCTGTGACATGTCAGTGTGCAGGCCAACGCTCTAACCATTGAGCAACACGAGCCAAGGCAAACTATATAACACTTTAAAGTGCTGACATGAAGCATTCTTAAATTCTGCCACAAAGGTATTTAAGTATTTAGTTATTGACTAAATATGCAATTATTGATTTTTTTTAGCCAGGTGAGAGTTTTCCTTCTCTGGAGTAAAGCTAGGGAATTACCCTGAAGGTGTACAGGCTTCTGTACTTGATGAATTCCATATAGACTGTTTCCTAAGCTTTTGGTGACTTACATTTTTAATGTGATCAATATATCAGGGGCAACTTTCTAGCGTTCACCTGTGCTGAGCTGGGTGTTCTGTTTTTTGTCTATTTTTAAGGCTGTCGCTCTTTGAGCACGTAATGAAAAGCACAAATAGCCGTACCCCGGAGGTGAGACTGCAGAGTAACCTTTCTCTCTGCTCTTTCCCAGGCGAGAGTGGACAACGAAATCCTGGATTACAAGGACTTAGCAGCCATTCCCAAGGTCAAGGCAATTTATGATATTGAGCGTCCAGATCTCATTACCTATGAGCCCTTCTACACATCCGGCTATGATGACAAGCAGGAGAGACAGAGCCAGGGGGAGGTAAGAAGTTCCTACTAGCTGTGAGTTATGCAACAGCATATGTCTCGTTTGTCGTGTGCATAAGAACTACCTATTGGAATCCAGGCCACTCAGAGGGTCCTTTTGATTGCACACTTCGCAGCCTTCCATCCCAGGTGCCCTGAGGACCTCAAAAGCCTGTCCTTGGCCTCAGGGGGTTACAGAGATCAAGAAAAGGCATGAAACTGGAATTTTTGCTTAATTTGTTCACAATTTTAACATAATATTTATTTTGTAACTGTATTGACATTTAGTCCTGTTTCTATTTATTTAGAAACATCACATATTGTTCTTTTTTGTTTATTTTCCGATCTGGCGTTTACTCCCAAGCTCTGCATTGAACTGGTCCATTGGGCAGGGAAAGTGATAATCCGTTTTCACGTAGTGCCATCTAGTGGCGGAATCGGTGTAACTGCCTCTGCGGCCACTCAAATGCAGCTGTATGAGCTATTTGATGATGTATTCTTAGGTGATTAACACTTCCTTCATAGAACCCTTACACTGCCATTTTAGAATCACGGGAGGGGTAAACTTGAGGTTCTGTGTGCCTTAGAAAGCAGGGGGAGGGGCGGGGCCTGAAGGTGAAGGGTAGTAGGTTGGCTAGGCCACTGGGACAGGATGCCACAGACCTGGTCCTCACAGGCCTGTTTCGGTCCTCAAACCATCGTATGTGATTGCTGTGCTTATCATTCAGTGAATGATCATGTTCACTGAACTCTGTAGACACTGTAACTCGGTAGTAAAGGTGATGCTGACAAACAGTACTAACGAGAACTAACGAATGAATAAACATAGCGACCTTTAATTCTCTCTTGTTCTTCTAGTCTCCGAGGACTCTGTCTCCCACTCCCTCCGCAGAAGTAAGTGCCATTCTTGAACTTTATCGTGGGTGGAGCTGGGGAGTTCCTCGGACCCGTCCTAGGCGAGGATTTGGGGGGAAAGGACATGAAATAAAAGAACAGAAAAACTGTGTGAGATTATGATGGATGTAGGCCTCCTTGCAGGTAAGCTATGACTGTAAGACACAGCAGTAAAGTTCTCTTTCCTTTTCCTGAGACTGTGGGGTAAAATCAGACGGGATTATCTGAAACGGCCAGCAGTGGTCATAGTGTGTCCTGTGAATGGCCACCCTCAGAGGAGGCCACACCTTGTAGCCTAAAATCCATGATCTTTCCCCTCTCCTCCAGGGAAACAGACTTTCCTATGGCTGCAGTACCATCTATAAATTATAACAGCTCCCTCCCACTGCCCCCCACATCCCAGTTTGGGGGCTTCTAGGTTTACCCTCCCCCCACAGTTGCTACCTCCTTGGTGACCAGTGGCTTTAGAAGCACTTCCTGTCATCCCTGCATAATTGTCCTTCCCGGGGTGGCTCTGAGATTAGTGGCCTACGCTCAGCCCAGCCCAGACCTGAGCTGGGCCCAGCACCAAGTCTGCCCGCCCTCTTTTTCATTGCAGCCATTACAGCTCATAACCAAGGGACTGTGGGTCTGCTGTGCTTTCCATTATTTTGCATTTCCTTACGTATCCATAGAGCAAACTCCTCCGGCGTTAGATCTAGCCCCACCTAACGGTAAAAATAACAGTAAATAAAATCACTAGTCTTGTCTCAAAGCCAAGCAGCTTTCTGGATAGTCTGCATAAAACTGAACTGATCTTAGATTTGTGGCAAATGCAGGTGCTATCGGTCTTGTATCCGTGAGCAGGTGGCCCCCAGGGGCCCCCGGACAGCTCTCATGGGACTCAACATCACGTGCCCGTGGCCCGAGGGCATGCTGTGTGCTCACGCTGTCTCGCTCTGTTTCCAGGGGTACCAGGACGCGCGGGACCGCATGATGCACCGGTCCACCAGCCAGGGCTCCATCAACTCCCCTGTGTACAGCCGCCACAGCTACACTCCCACCACATCCCGCTCCCCGCAGCATTTCCACAGACCCGGTAAGGCCGCTGCCCCCGGGGTTCCCACTGTCTGATCGTCCGTGTGTCTGGGTGATGCTTTCTCCCCGTCCCTAAGAGCTGGCTGCTGAATACTACCCCCTCTTCCAGAAAAACAAAGACAAAAAATCCTCCCATCGACTATAGTTAGTGTTGCATCTTTTCTGGAAACAGAGTTATTTTGTGTTTATATTCATTATGATTTATTAAATAATCACATTTGGACATGGAACGGCTGCGAGCAAAGGAGGGTGTTATGGGTTTTGTTTTCCTTTAGTCTTGAAGAAGATCTCATCACTTTAAAAAATAAATAAATATATATCTATATATCTATATCTATATATCTATATCTATATATATATATATATATATATATATATATGTTATTGAGTTTTTACAGAGAGGAAGGGAGAGGAATAGAAAATTAGAAACAATCAGCTGCCTCCTGTATGCCCCCCACTGGGGATGTGCCCGCAACCAAGGTACATGCCCTTGACTGGAATTGAACCTGGGACCCCTGAGTCCACAGGCCGATGCTTTATCCACTGAGCCAAACCGGTCAGGGCAGATCTCACCACTTTTAGACTTCAGTGAAGATCTCCAAAATAAACTATTTTGATGGGTCTTTCAGGCATGTTAGCCTCATCCAACATCCAGTATTAGCCATTTGTTGGGATGGGGGTTATCACGTTTCTCTTCTCCAGGCATGTTCGCGTGGAGTTAAGCACCTCCTAGAACAAAGTTGTATACCAGCTCAGGGTTGTATATTACTTTTATGATCCACTCCAGCCCTCAGATTTTGAATCAGACTTGGGAAACATTCCAGATGGATTGTGAGAGAGAATGTGAAATTGTAACGGACTGCCGTTGCCCTTGGTCTGTGCGGAATTTGACCCCTAGTAGTGAATGTCTCATATGGAGAGTAAAAGAAAGAATGGGGGATCCCAGCACAGATCCAGAATTCCCCAAGAAAGGGTTCCCAAAGGAAGAGCTGGGCCTTGGGAACAAGCTTGTGGTTAGTGATGACATGCATCTATGGAAACTTCGTTCTAAGTTTCTTGCTTCTGCACGGCTGATGAGAGCAAACCGCCTTATCTGCTAACCTGCTTGCCAAAATAAAACCAAAGGAAACGAATAAACTGTAAAAGGATGGCAATCTTTTCTCAAAAGCCATCAATTTCATGCTATTAGAGGAATGAATTTTTATTATGTGATCCTTCAGTAATGTATAGCTTTGTTTTGTTTTTCTAGACTCAATACTTGGTTGAGATACAGTCATATTGATTGGGAATTTTCAGGCAATGAATTCCTTTCTCTTTTCACGTAAAAGTATATTTATTTCACATGTGCCCTGGACCTGGGTCTGGATGTAAGTCTTTGTCTATCTGGGTGACAAGAAATCCTTTCAGCTGCCAACCTGTGTGTGGGCATGCTGCTGAGGGAGGTCACGGAGACCCCAACCAGGACCCTGTCAGAATGACACGGGGCTGCTGGGAGGTTGTTCCAGAGCCCTCTGAGGGGTGAGGGAGGGGTCCGTCAGGGGCAGTGCTTCCCTTCAAGGCCATGTCCTGATTGAGCACTCGGACGTTTTCATCTGTCCCGGTCACGGTTCTGACTTTAGAAATCCCCCCTTCTCAGTGTCCCTCCTTCTCTCCTTCACAGCATGTGACAGATAGTATGATACGAACGATCAGGATTTCTAAGCGTTTTTTCAAGGTCTACCCTAGTGACGTGAAGCTGGGGTGGTCTGTACAGGGGTGGGGACGTCCGGCCCGCGGGCCGTGTAGGTTCCCGAAATCATTTCGTCTGGCCTTGCCAAGGCTTTCGAGCGATTTCATTAAAATGTTTGACCAAACACAGCCCACGAACGATGTTATAAATATTGGTAACTTTGTACGGCCCACGAATGATGTTGTAAATATCCACATGGCCCTTGGCAGAAAAAGGTTCTCTATCCTTGGGAGAGCAGCTTAACTTATCCTAGATGCCAGGCGAGGATGCACACCCCTGGCCTTAGCTTTAATGTCCACCCTTCTTCCGAGAGAACAGAGCTGCCACTACCCGGTTCTCGGGATCCCAAGCAGCACTTGGACACCCAGACAGGCGTGGGGTCTTTTTCCTACGTAAGCAAAATAAAATTAGACTTTCGTGGCGAGGTAATGTGCAGCTTTAAAACATGAGAATCTGCCCCTTACACATCAGTCCTTCTGTTCAAGGTTCCTGAAATGACTGGCACTTTTTTGACATGTGCTTCCGAGGTTCTGGTTTGTCCGTTGCTTTTTAAAAATAGCTGTTTTGGGGTCTAAAATAGCTGGTGGCATCCTAACTGGGTCAGGGGGATCGGGGGAGAGGGGCTGTTCTGGTGGCCATTCCTTCTCGCTTCATTCTCAGAGAGTGCCTCTGTACCAGCCTGAGCCTGGGTGTCTGCAGATTCTCTCAACTTGCCTAACCCTGAGCAGGGGCTTTCTTAACCCTTTTGCCTTCCTCCTCTTCCAGACTTCTGAGGAATGATCTTTATCCTACCCCCCATCCCCTCCCCTCCTGGAATGACGCCTTGTCCCTGCTCCTGTGTTAATTTCTGTTCTTCTCTTCTGTTTCCGCCTCGCCCGCCCCGCCTCCCTGGCACAGAGCTGCTGCCTCCTGGTGTGCACAGGTTGTCCTACCTGCGCACCAGCAGCCTCAGCTCCACCCACAGCGACTCCCGCCCCAACTCCCCCTTCCGACACCACTTCATCCCCCAGGTCAAAGGTAAGGAGGCAGGCTTCCAGGCGGCCACGCCCGCTGGAGAGTTATTAGCCCCCTGAAGGCTAATAAGGTCCTCTCCGAGGCTTAGCCCGAGCTTCCCCTCGGCATGCCTGCAGTGTGGCGCCTGCACCGGCAGTGCCTTAGAACTGGCATCGCCCCTCTCGGTAGAGAAGCATGTCACTTCTAAGGGCCCTCGATGAAGAGATAAGAAGTTTGTTTACTTGACCACAAGATTGATCGATGACATATATATATATTACTATTTTGTTTTTCTGTACCTCAAAAGCAAAATATAATATATAGCTGGGGTATTGGCCTGGTTTTCTTATGTGATGTGGCTCAGCAAAACCCAGTGGGATTCAGCAACAGATATTCACAGGCCGTCCTAACGGCGATGAGCCTCTTAAGTAACCACATACCGAAATTAAAACGTTTGGATCGTATAGAAAATATCAAATGTCTAGGTTGGAGCCGACCGAGAGTCATCTTCTGTTGGCCTGCCCTGGTTTCTGCATGATGGGGGAGAGAGGCTTTGCCTTCTGATCTCTGTTCCTGTCCCCCATTCCTGCCCGACCCCCTCATGGCATTGCCACTGTTTCCTTCATTGTTCTTTATGCTTCTGTAGCAGTCTCCAGGGGGCCCTGGTCCCCTCCTTCTGCAGGGAAAGCCAAGAGCCCCAGGGAATAAGGAAATAAATGAGTGCGAGTGCCCACAAGGATGCTCACTGTCCAGAGCCCTGATTTAAACCCATGAACGTAGCTGAAAGGGAAGGAGCAGGCAAGCACAGATGTGGTGAGGGGTTGGGCCAGTCCTAAAGGAGTCTAACCTCGGTTCCAAGAACTTGTGCCACTAATGCTTCTGTTACATAGTCCACTCGAGCTGTTTCTTTTTTGCTCGCTCGGAGTTTTGAGCATGTGAGTCCTAAAATACAGATGTGCTGTGCTGATCAGCATGCAGTCACTTGATGTGTGCTATTCTGGCATTTTCTGCCGTGAAAATAGCATCGCTGACACGCTTATCACACTACTTGCCATTAACAAAGAGACCAGTCTTTTTTAGTAGATGCAGCACTCTCTAAAATTCCTGGCAGATTATTTAAAGTGGCCATTGCTGATGTTTTGGACAAAGAGAGAGAGAGAGAAGGAAATTTTTTTATATAGAAGTAAGATGATACTTTAGACAAGTTTATAAAACCGTAAGATATTATTGAAGAAACTTCAAAGATGCATTTTAAAGAGACTTGAATACAGAAGCCCTTGGCCAAATCAAGATTTTGTTGGTTTTTAAATGCACAAGGGAAAATACATTTTTCATTCATTGAGATGTAAACAGCCTTGTGTGGTTATGTTTCCTCTTTCAGAAGAGCCTTTTTCCATAGAAAGAAAAGGGCCATTGTGCCCTGGAAGGTTATACAAAGTTTGTACAAATAGCGCATCCCAAAGTGTCATATACCTTCTTTCTGTGAGCAGCCTTAGGAGAGACGGATGGCACACCCATAGGGACACTGGAGTCCTGCGTTGAGTACTCTGTCTGTCACTAGCTAGTATGGGACCTCGGATGTTGGCTTGACTTTGTGAGCGTTACTTGCCTCACCTGTAAACCTCTCCTAGGTCACTAGGGCATGTGAGGTCAAGTGCCCCGGTGCGTGTAAGCACCGAGCTCACAGGAGTCTTGGTGCCCCTCGACTTGGTGCTCTTAAAGCCCTTTCCGTCTTCCTTCTGCTCTTCACCGCGTCTGACGTAGGCCCAGACGGAGATGGAGAACTGAGGTCCTGGGTGGGCAACCCAGCCTAGGGCTCACAACTGGGAAGTGAGAGCTCCCGGACCAGACCCCAGGCCTCCCCATCCCTCATTCAGATGAGGTGTGTGCATTTTGGTACAAAATAGACGTGGAGTTTAACTTTTAAAGCAAACTCATTGTCCACCTCCTCTTAACTAGAAAATTGGATTCTTATTGAGGGCAAGACAGATAGCTACTTCAGTCATGTACATTACAAAATTAGCATTTTTTTTTTTTTTACTTTTAATAGGAGTATCAACTGCTCCTAAAAATTACAGCACCTCTGTGTGTCTAAGTGGTGCTTTATTTAAAAATATGGATATGCTTTGTTTTCTGTGTTCAGTCTGAATTTGAAGTTTTCGACACAAGAATTATAGATTTAAATGATAAACAACATGAGGCTAAGAGGGGTTAGCATGACCCTAAGCTTATACTTGAAAAACATCTAATAATCTCCCACTTTCTTTTCACTGCACATATACCTGTAGCTGGTCCATATGAGGTAGTTTATAGAAAATAAACTTTAAAAATATAGAAAATGTAAAATGTCATGCACATCACAGTTGATGCTCAGTTTTAAAAGTACACGGAGAATTTGTATAGTAACTAGATTGCTTGTAAAGCCTGGTATCGTTGCATGACTAAATGCTGATTCTCCAGAGAGTTACATCTTAGCTGTTATGAAAAACATCTATCCCTTCACATGGACGGCCTCTCCGGCTTTTGGAAATTCCCACATGGAGGGAACTTGTAGCCATTGGAGAAGCACGTGGGCAGAGTACCCCAGGCTTCCCACGGCCCTTCATTGGAACGGTTACTTTTCCTCTTCGAGCTTGTGTTGTAGTCTCAGGGGAGTTTTGAAAACAAATGGAAGCTGGAGAGCGTGAGGCCCCGGGGTGGGATGACCATCTGAGGAAGGTGTAGCTAGAAGGGAATGGCACTTCACTCTGGCAGCCTGAAGCCCAGCCCCCTTTGCCCAAGCCCACTTCCTGGTCCTTATTTCTCACGCATGCGGCCAGGGCCCCAGGGAGCTGAGGATGACTGCATGGGGTAAAGCTGAGATGCACATCACAGGCTGGCTCTGTGTCACTGGCTTCCCCATCCACTTCCTGTGGCCTCTGTCTTGTTTCCCGGTGTGTTTTTTTCTGTTTTCTGACCTTCCTTGCAGCCTCATTCTGGTATGTCATTGTTGGATCCTTTGGGCAAGTGCATGCCTGGAGATTTGGAACTTTCACTCTTTTGGGATCTGTTTGTGCTGTGCTTTCTGAGTTTCTCTTCCCTCTCTTTGAAATACTGTTAGACGTTACGTTCTGTGTCTATGAAATATATTAACCAGATGAGTGGCTCTGGTTCAGATAGGTATTGGACTCTAGCTGAAGGGGACCATGACACTACTGAAGCTTTAGACAGGGACTAGCCATCTTGAAACTGGCATGAAATTTTAGATGCTGCCAGCTTTCAGGTCCCCTCACAATACTCATTTCTGTTTTGGAATATGAGCCCTTACAGCCCTGAAAGCTAAGTGTGTGCCCACCGTTCCACGGCAGACACAAGCACGGCCACGTCAATCAGTATGTGTCTTAGAATCTGTCACTAGGCCACAGGCTGCAGAAAGCATGGAAGTGAGGACTGAGCTTTTGAGTTTATGAGTGCCAGGGTTCTTGTCCCAGCCTTACAAAGGGTTCAGCAATCTGGAGAAAGGGGCTGATGCATAGATTAAGAAAGAGTCCAAAGACAAAAGATAGTTTTGAAAGACATTTGGGGTCAGAGGATCTTAAGCTAAAGAAGCTGAAAAGACTACTCCCTGGACTCAGGACCCTGCTTTTATTAACACAATTTGTCCTAAAGCAAGGTGGAGATAGTACACTTCTAAGGGTACGGTTTCGAAGGGTAGGATACAGAAGCATTGTCAGTTTGGGGAATAGCCTATAGCTAGCTGTTCAGGTGTTTGGCCAACAGGAGGCAATATCATGCAGATTTAAGATTCTCTGAGCTATCTGGCAGCACACAATTATCCTATTCAGGTTTGGGGGAGGTGCCGTTTAGCCATTCCAACAGGTAATTAATTACATACATGACTCAGTCCTTGTTGAACCACCAAGCTTCACCAGACTTTTGATGAGACTCTTGTATTTATGACATGTTGGAATTGGTTCCCGGCAGATGAGTAGAGTGAGAATTCTGTGAGTGAATGATCTTCCAAGGACTGAAAAATTGGCTTCCTTGGTTGACATGAAAGGAGCTAAAACTGAAGGCCAAGAAATGTCTCTGTTCCCACGGTAGCGTCTCCTCACAGTGGCTAAGATCACTAAGAACTCAGACTGAGCCAACACAAGGATTCGTGTGAAGGAACAAATGGCTGGGAGTGTGCTGTGTACAATATTATGTGATAAATACACTATTACATTATTTGTCAACAGTGCCTTCACTCTGGGCTGATAGGTGATGATGATGATGGTGATGATGATGATGATACCTTCATATATGCTAATTTATCTGCTACCTCATACATTACTTATGTAATAAACTCAACACAAAAATAACCTTTTAGGGCCTCATCAGTTATTTCCTTCCAGGATAGAGTTAAAAGTTTTTATTACTTAAAGGTAGGGTATTTAACCTAGCAAAGTTGGAAACAGGTCTCATCTTGAGAATGTTTCTTTTTCTTTGAAAAATGACAAAAGTTTGTCATGCCTTTAGTAATCCAAGGGCGAAGCATGTTATGTATGCTGAGCCTTTATTCCAATGAGCCCTCATGACGTGGGGAAATCATATTGTACAGAATTGCTCAGATGGGCATGTTTCTGAGTCTCTCTTTACCTTGCTTTAAACTTTTGTGGGAGTTCTATTTTATTTATATATTTTTATTGATTTCAAAGAGATAGGGAGAGGGAGAGAGAGATAGAAACATCCATGATGAGAGAGAATCATTGATTGGCTGCCTCCTACATGCCCCCTACTTGGAGTCAAGCCCACAATTGAGCATGTGCCCTTGACCAGAATCGACCCTGGGTCCCTTCAGTCTGTAGGCCAATGCTCTATCCACTGAGCCAAACCAGCTAGGGCTGAGGGAGGTGTTAAATGATTATATATAAAGTCAAACCTACTTACAAAGACTTGAACACATGAGGGCTTTTTCTAGGAACTGGAAAAGTCAATGGTTGCTGAAGATATGCAGCAAATACAGAACTGTGCCCAGCTGGTGCCAGCATTCAGCTGGAATGTACCCCCTGGAAGTTCAGAGAGTCGTGGCCTGCATCCAAGAACAGATGGCCTTCTTCAACCACTTGCCAGCAGAGCACCCTCATGAAGGAAAGATGTTTACTAGTCAGCCAAGTGCCAGTTCCAAAAACCTTAAACCCTGTGTCCTGAACATGCAGATATTTGTGGGTGCACATGTATCCGGCTAATAATTATCAAAACAAATGTAATGGTGTTTCTTCTTATTGGGCATGATAGCCCACACCTGCACAAACATTTCCCCCGCAATGGCTGATGTTGTACCAGTACAGGGAGGCTAATTTTTCACGTGCCTCTGAGTACTATGGCAAGGTATTGTATTTATGTGTCTTGAGTCTGACTCCTTCGGTGGACGCTGGGCCCCTGGAGGGCAGGGACTAAATCTCCTTCATCTACTATCCTCGCTCCCAGCTCAGGGTCCAGCCACCCCAGGTGTCCAGTCAGCATCTTACGGATGCGGTCATTAGAGAGGGTGGTGCCTCATCTTTGTAGAGAAAGATGGAGAGAGGGGTACACGGTCTCAGGGTGCCTGGAAGAAAGGAGCCTGACTCATCTGGTGTATTTCAAAGAGGAAACAGAAACACACGCTGCCATGAAGGCGCTCGGATTCCTCAGGGGAAGGCCTGGGTGACCGCACCGGCTCCCAGACGTAGCCTTTGCTCAGCTCAGGGACATGCTGCTCAGCCTCCATCACCCCGCCCGGGAGGCCTGTGTTTGGGTGGCTGATCCCACTCCTGCACACGCTTGGGATCTAACCATCTAGCAACTGGTCCTGAACCATCAGCCAGGCCCTTTCCATTCCTCATACCAGACACCCCGTCCGGTCCGCGCCCTGTCTGCCCCAGCCTCAGCCACACGCCTTGGGTGACGCGCCTCTCTGCTCGCTGCTTTACCCCCGTGACCTGAACGCAGGCCTCTCTTTCGGGAAAACTAAACCTTATCTCCCCCCATTTGCCAGCCACGTTGCTGCGTTGAGCTTGTTTCTTTCTTTCCCCCCTTTATTGATGTACCTCCTCCCCGTTGGTGGTTTTGAAGTTTTATTGCGCTCGCTCAGTTTCCGTTATCGCTGTTCCCTCTCTCATTTTGTTTTCTCCATTCTTCTCCTTGGAGGCAACGAGCCGTCCAGCGGCCGGAACTCCCCTCTCCCCCACCGGCCCGACAGCCGCCCTCTCACTCCAACTTACGCTCAGGCCCCTAAACATTTCCATGTTCCAGGTAGGCGCTGCCACGGTCTGTGTCATGGTGTCCTGTCGCCGTGTAGAATGTAGCCTTGTCGCCTCTGTCTCGTCTCCATTGCTCACGCTCTTCCCATGTACAGCTGACAAACCCTAAATTGCAGGATCTGACCTAGGGGGCCTTTCAGACATGTTCTGTGTGAAACGCCAGGATGGTATCGAAGGGTTATTTTTGGGAAGGGGTATGGATTCCAGTTGTGTTGTTTTTACTAAAAATCTTAATTTCACCTTGATATCAGCGGCTCCTGAGCTACCACACTGTGGCCCGGTGTGGTTGACTAATTAACGCAATGGCGATGCAGTGACCTTCTGGTTCTAAAGATGGGACCACAGCGACACTCAGAGCCTTGGTGTTCCTTGTGTCTCCCACGGGGACACTCTCCCATGGCCTTTTCTGAGCAGAGTGAAATGGTCTCTCTGCAGCGTGTCCCTCACTAACCACCCCCGGAGCCCGCAGAGGTATCTTGCAATTTAGGCGTGGTGCAGGCAGCTCCGCTCTGTAGCGGCAGCACCTGCTGTCCCAGCACGAATAGCCACCTGCCCCCCGGAGCCGGGAGAATCAGAACCCGCCAGCATCGTCCCATGTGGAAAGGCAAGACTGGCCGTCCGAAGTCCCGGCATCATTTTTCCACAAGAAACACGTGGTTTTGCCTCTTTTAGTTCCGGAAAGTAGTTTAATACATGATCCGCTATGTCCATGCTAGGAGACATATTTGGGATCTGAAATTTGTTTGCCCTTTTGCATTCCAAACTGACATACAAAGTCAGAGGAAACTTCATTGAGGTTCATTCCACTGTGCTAGGATTGCCTTTTTTTTAAAGTTTTATTGAACCTTGAAAATCAATGTTTTTTGGTTTTTGGTTTTTTGGGGTTTTGTTTTATTTTGTTTTTGTTGGGGTTTTTTTTTTTTGTTTTTTTTTTTTGCATGAAGAATGCCCCACCAAGATACAGTGCCCAGGGTTCTGGAGAAATAAAGCTTTTGACATTTTCTGAGTATTTGTACTCAAAGTGAAATGGCAGCATAATCAAATGGGGTCCTGTGTGAATATGTGAATAATATTTGGCATCTCAGTCTTTAAAAAAAATAAATGGCCTACAGAAGTTAGGAGTTAGGCAAACATCCTGGTAGTACCTCCGACTAGTTTTGCCCCTAAAAAGTGTTTCTGTGTTTAAAGAAATTACTCTTAATTTTCCTACATTGCTTTCCACTGTCCCATTCATTAGTCGAGAAGTAAATTGAGCCACTGGTATCTCCTGGGAGCTCAATTTCTAGACAGTAGCATTTTGGGGATTTTCCCCAAAACTGGTTATGTCTTCTTCACCGTAGAGTCCTCCACTGCTTGCATTTCTTCCTGTTCTAGTCCTCCTTTTAGTGACATATGTGTCGGAAATAAATGGCTCATGAATTAATGACATCTCTCTATATGCTAAGATGTATTACAAAGGATTTCATATCACCTGTTGTAGCAACTCGCTCATTCCTGTAACTTCTGCTTCCGGTAACACCACTCTTTGTAATACAAAAGTTGACCGTCTGGGTTATATTTGTTCAAGAGTCTTCAGTTTGGTCTGCTTCTCGGTTGTTCTGTTTTTCCCGTCGCGGGCCTGGTTCCCATAATCACACCCCTTTGCTTTTCATTCCCACAGATCAAGGAGTCAACATCTACCGAAAACCGCCCATCTACAAGCAACATGGTAAAACCCTTTCCTCCGCGTTAGCTTTTAAGTAGCAGCATCCGCTGACCTTCTCTTTGCTGTCCCCTGAAAGGCTTAGCAGCTGCTGCTGTTGAGAACCAAACCGGGGTGCCCAGCGAATTGTGCCTGGATGTCCTCCTGATATGCAGACACTGTGAAGTTGGGGTTTCCAGAGGGAGGTCAGGAAGCTCCTAGCTCATGTCTGAGCCCATCTAACCATGTATCGGGCCGTTCATTGAGAAGGGGTAGGACCAGCCACACAATAACTCACAAACACCCTAACAAGACATGTTTGTCTTTTCTCTGCCATTCAATCATTTAACCAGCCTCTATCACTACTTGGATCAGATTACAATTTAACTACTTAAAACTAGTGCAAGCCAGCTTTCTGGGGAAAATGAATCGGACGAAGCCCATATCAGCTGGGCTGTCCAGGTGCCCGGTTTCTTCTGAAGCATGAAGGTATCTGTGCCCGGTGACGGAGCGGATGATGGGACACACGCTAACTCAGAGTCCTGGCCCTCGTCCCAGCTCCTCCCCTCAGTGGCTCTGTCATTTAAGATGTCATGGACACCATTGCTCTGTCCCTCCATTGTCTCAAGTCTGTGACTTAGGCTAGTTTGTCTGCAAAATCACTGCTGTGGGTTTAGGCGGGTGCTTTCCTTGTCTGGGAATATGGAATTTTGAAGCCCAGGAAATCACCCCGATCTGTGTGTAAATCACATTTCCCCCACCCTGATTGTGTCTCTCAAGATTTATCTGCCACGAATCTCTGTGAATGGGTTCCTCTGAAGCCAAGATCAGTCTTTAAGTGATTTCAGAAAATTAGACACAACTTGTGCCTGGAAATTTGAAGGCTGCCTTTAAAAGGTAGTTGACATTAATGAGTCCTTAAGGATTAGGATGACACGAAAAGCAAAGTCAAAAACAGCACAGGGGGCATATTTAGCCCTACATTCTCAGCAGGGAAAGAGAATGTATGTTTTGTAATGTTTGTGGAATTCCGACTTTCTTCTTCATTCTGTTTTTTTTTTTAATTTAAGATTTTACACCCCGTGCTTGCTTTTTTAAGTTTGTTAACATTGTTTTTTTGTTTGTTTGTTTTTTTATGGTTTAATGTCTTGTCACCCACTCATTAACATGTGAATGTTTACTGACTTCACCAATTCTAATGAGTAAGTACTATTTGAAGTCCTGCTTTTTTTTTCCTTTTGCTTTTTTTTCTCTCCAAATTTAAGAATAAGATCCTCAGTTAGATTTATCAGTTTAGAGTCTTTTGAAATACTGGAATCTTTAGGCCCTGCCTCTCTAAACAAAAATAATCCAATGATTAAGACTAAAGATGGAACAGTGTTAGATGGTTTATTTAGAAGGGGTTAATTGGCTTTTTTTCCCTGCAATTTACTTTGACTTTCCTCTTGTTTCAGAGCGTTGTAATTAATTAATTAATTAGAGTAGCACACCCCAAGCAGCACTTCCCAAAGGACCTTCTGCAGAGCAGGCAGTCCATGCAATAGACACAGGGGCCCTACCCAGGCCTGTGTCTGCCCTGGGGCATTTGGAAAATGCTAGGTTTAGAGGAAAGCTTTTTAAAAATATATACATATATATTTTTTTTTTTATTGATTTTTATAGAGAGGAAGGGAGAAGGATAGAGAGTTAGAAACATTGATCAGCTGCCTCCTTGCACACTCCCCACTGGGAATGTGCCCACAACCAAGGTACATGCCCTTGACCAGAATCAAACCCGGGACCCTTGAATCCGCAGGCTGATGTTCTATCCACTGAGCCAAACCAGTCAGGGCTTTTTTTTTTTTTTTTTTTTTTTTTTTTTTTTTTTTTTTTTTTTTTAATACAAAACTTAGCCTTTACTGTGCTAACACATTTTGTTCTTCTTTAAGAAGAGGATATTTATGCAGTGCTTTCCAACCTGATTTTATTTATTTATTTATTTTAATTTTTTTTCCCCTCACGAAGTTAATGGTTCAGAGAAACACAGTTCCAAGCCTGGCCAGGGCCTTGTTCCTTTTTATTGCAAAGGTCGGCCTCAGTTAAGTCACTTCAGCAAATTGAGACCTAGAAATTTTCAATAAGAATGAGGGCGGGGAGCTGAAGGTTCAAGGAGTCACATCCAGATTCAGAAGGCTGTGAGCTCCGGCAGAGAGGAAGTTTTATTTAAAGCAACATAAACATTTCTAAATGTTTAGTAACATCCCAGGTCACTTGGCAGAAGTAAGTACCTGAGCATCTCTCCCGGCTTGCTGGGCTCCATCTGTGATCAGATTTGGGGCTGTAAGCCCACGATGCTTCCTCCAAGCAGAGCCTTTAAGAGCCCTGGGCAGTCCTGCTGCTGTCAGTCCGGCCCCCGTGTTTTAAAGTGGGGTGATTCACCTGTGTGTGCAGACCCTCAGACAAAACAGTGGCAGTGCAGCAAACATAGTCACCACGCTAGTGCCTGCAAGCTGAGATTGGGTTTCTCCTGGGACTCAAGGACCATGTGCAGGCTGCCCCAAACAATGTATACCCGCTTTCACAGCTGATAGCTCAATTTTGAACATTATGACTGCCTTTATCATGATTCGAAGTGCATGTGTACATTTTTTTTGGGGGGGGGACGGGGGGCACCCCATATAGTATAGAAGTATTACAATGAACTGGAGCAGTATATTTGTGGCTAAAGCCAAAAGACAAAGCCAGCCAGCCCTCTTATGACTAATTAGCAAAGACGGTATCGTGCTTCTAACTCAGCTCTTTATTTTCAAGTGACTAATTCAGATGGCTAATTGCTCTAGGAGTCTGTCCCAATCGAAATTTCTAGGATGGTGGGAATGTTCTATAACTGTTGTCCAATACAATAGGCACTGATCACATGTGGCTCTTGAGCACTTAAAATTGGCAACTGAGGAATTGAATTTTTAGTTTAATTTTTTCCCCATTTAATTTATTTTTAATCCTTACCCGAGGATATTTTCCCATTGATGTTTAGGGAGAGTGGAAGAGTCAGGGAAAAAGAGAGAGAAATATCGATGTGAAAGAAGCACATCGATTGGTTGCCTCCTGCATGAGCCCCGACCAGGGTTCAGGCCGGAGAGGAGCCTGCAACAGAGGTATGTGCCCTTGACTGGAATCAAAGCCAGGACCCTTTGGTCCATAGGCTGACGCTCTAACCACTGAGCAAAACCGGCTAGGGATAAGTTTATTAATTTAATGTAAATTGCCACATGTTGCTAATTTTAGATAGCAGGCTCCAAGCAGATGTAGAACAGGTGTAACATGAAGCTTTGTTTCTGGGAGCATCCGATGAGCCGAGCTGTCACTGGGCATCACTGGCCGGGTGGTGGATTGATCATGGCAATAAGCAGAGCTGTCTGGAGTGGAAACCTTTGCCAGAGAACAAGGCCCTGTGAGTGGGTTGACCACCATGGCCTTGCAGACCGGTAGCTAAGCCTCCCCTGATTCCGCCTAGATGCAGCTGCCTTGGCAGCCCAGAGCAAGTCTGCAGACGACATCATCAAGTTTTCCAAGTTCCCAGCAGCGCAGGCGCCAGACCCCAGCGAGATCCCAAAGATTGAGACGGACCATTGGCCTGGTCCCCCCTCACTTGCCGCCGTAGGTATGCGACTGTTACAGCTAAGCCAAATGGGCAGTTTCCTAGGAGACCTCAAAGTGCAATGCTTAAGAAAATGCAAGGTTTTTAAGGAAAGAACGACCGAGAAGAGGTAGCATAGTGGGGAGAACTAATACGGTATTATGTGTGTGCAAAATGCTTCCAAGCTACCAACACCCATCACCACAGCCTTGCCCTAACCAAATCACCAACATGCAGAACTGGTCTAAAACGGATGATGCACACGGACCCTTGGAGTCATTACTGCTGAGTCGGTAACTTTTGAATGCCATTGAATCCAAGGTCTTTGGCAAGAACATTGTTCTATATAATTGGAAGTTAGCCGGCGAGTTAACCGAGGGTCCACAGAAGCATGGCTTCTTTCAGATTTGTTTCAGACGATTTCTGCTTGTAATTGCAGCTCTCTATACAGCTAATCTTAACCCTGAAGCGCTTTCACTTTTCTTACGAGATCACGTTCTCCCTTTCTAAGGAGGGTAATGTGTTCTGAAATTGTGTGCGTCAAGTTACGTGATTTTACATCCCTCATTTCCATGATCCTGTGCTCCGATGTCACATTCCAGCTGTTTCATTCTTTGCTTTGAGCCTCAAGTGAATGCTTTAGAACTGTGTCTGTGTCTCTCTTTTCCTTTTCGTCAGTAGTGAAATCACTCGGCCTAAAAAGTGATATTAAGCAAACTCAGACGCTAATACTAGAAGTTGAGTCAATTGGACTTGCCAATGTGACTATCTTATCACATTTCTGTGGACAACCTAAAAGGCCTTCAATTTTCCAAAATTTCCAAATTGCTTTCCTCATGCTATTTTTTTCTTATCAGTTTACTTTTGGAATAACTTGTACAAGTACTCTCTGTAGATTTTAAAGCAATTTATATGTATAGAAACAGTCAAAGGAAATCCATCTTGGGTTCCTTACTCACAAGTATTCTCTACATGATGTTGTCTTGAGATATAGCTGATTCTTGGAACCTTGTATTTATTCATTTTTATCAATATGAAGAGAGAAGACTCACCTTGATTTTGATGATTTTGATGATTTTAGGAACTAAGAGCCAATCATATCAGCTTTTCTCTGCCAGGCAGTTCGTGGGGCCCTTGAGGTTCCCACTTCAGTCACGTGGTTTAGTGGGGTGGCTACCGCAGCCAGACCCCAAGGGGCCAGGAGAATCAACATTTTGCTGTTGAAACTGACATCTCTAAATAGTTTAAAGCTCTTTGGGGTTCCAAAATGAAGGCAGCCTCTGGCCCATTAATCAAAATAAGAAAAACTGAGACGATTAAGGACTGTTTTGATTATTTTAGCCAGCCTTCCTGTTTCCTCCCGCAGTCTGATTACTCCGAGGAAAAACACTCATTATCGTAGTTTTCCAACCATTTAGATAGACTCTTCCCTCCCACCCTCTGCCTCTCTTTATCAGGAAGCTTTAAAATGGTACAGGACTTGCTCTACTGCACCAAAGGAAATCGCTTTTTAGCTCTATTGCTGTAGTGAGAGTTTTTACTGAGTTTTGATCAGTAGAAAGCTTTTTTATAATCATTTTTCAAAGGTCCGAGAAAACGGAAGCATTAGAGACCCATCCCTAAATAAAAAGCATACTTGTTATGGAGTTTTTTAAGGGTAGAAGTCAGGGTGATGTTATTATGGCAACCTATCTGGTTAGCAGAAGAGGGAACTATAAGATTTTAAACCTTGTCATAAAGGAGTGACTATTTGAAAGCCTGTGGGTGAATTTGGATGTCTCTCTATTTGAAAATTGATCTCAGGGACATCGGAATAAGTGTAGATGCTCCTCCCTCTTACTACCCAGAGCTCGCACCAGGGAGGACTTAGACCCCATCGCAGTGGCAAACCCGAGCTTTAATTGAGCAACCATTATGGGGAGGCCCAGATCCAGATACCACTGGATCCCACATTGCACCCACTTGTCAAACAGACCCGCTGTCTCAAGAAAGCAGCCAAGTAGCCCTGAGTTGGCGGGAGGCTCCTTTTGCTCCTGGTGCTGTTCTCTCATGGCCAAAACCACTGCTGACCTTGGTGGCCTGGCCAGTCGAGCCCAGGTGGACTAGTCCCGTCCGATGCCCCTGCCGTGCGGCTAATGTGAGAAGTTGTCTTTGCTGTGGAATTAGGAGCTGACATGAGACGCAGATCTAGCGGCAGAGAGGAAGACGACGAGGAACTCCTGAGACGCCGGCAGCTTCAGGAAGAGCAGCTCATGAAGGTTGGTCCTTAAACAAGTCAGTTCTCTCCCGTCCATATTTCCGGAGTGACTACTAATGGGCACCCACCAAGATGAGCAAGAAGTGGTCCCAGCCCTCAAGGGCTGGCTGCTAGTGATTGTGATACAAAGGAGTGCTGAGTGTGTTCTGGAAGAGGTGAACTGAAGGCTGGAGGTCAGAGGGCCGTGTAAGGGTATGGGCTTTTGCAAGGAGAGCGCGACCCTGTGCGGGCATGTGAGTGTGGTACCTGTGTCGAAAGGATGCTGAAGGGCCCAGCAGAGCTGAGGTGTACACCCAGGTTGTTCAACACCTTCCTGACCTCATGCAGGCTGTCCTGAAGGAATCCCCTGGGAATGGAGTCTTTCTCCAAGTCTTTCCTCAGGACTCATGGGACCTTGTGTGTACATCTGGGCCAGGAGAGAAGGAATGAAATAGACTGCCTCTAATACGCCCTCATGGGCTTCTCTCTCACATGGGCCTATAACCTCTCCTTCCAATGAGGGATTGATGAATCCCTTCCAATGACATTTTCCAAAGATGCTTAATCACATGGGAAATGCACATGATACGAGTTATGTGAAAAGATAGGATGCAAAGTTGCATTAATGGTATGATCCCCATTTTGTATAATATGTGCCTAAAACGTACTGGATGGATATAAACCAAAATGTAAATGGATGTCTCTGAGTGGTGGGTTATGGGTTACTCTTCTCTGGGTTTTCTAAAATCTATACAATGGGCAAGTCTTACTTTCTTTTTCTTGTTTTTAAACAAATCAGTGTAGTTTCTTTTTAAGGACTACCATTCCCAATGCCCCCTTCCTACATCAAAAAGCCACACACACTCACACGTGCCTCCTGAGGTCACCTGCTGGTGCTTTGGGGGAGAGCAAGGGAGGGAGAACATTCTTCTGACGTGGAGCCTGACAGGGAAATGCCAGCCTTGACATTGAAGAGGCTGAGGATTCAAGGTCCAAAACCTGTCCGAGCTCCAGAGGCACCACCAGCCGCTGAGACTACCCATCCAGGCTTTCCCTGAGTCGGTACTTCTCACAGGACCTTCTAAAAAGAGGTGTTTCATGGAAGTAACTGCGGGCTTCCCTTCCATTTTTCTTTTCCTTGTGAATAGCTCAACTCGGGCCTGGGGCAGCTGATCCTGAAGGAAGAGATGGAGAGGGAGCGGGAGAGCCGGGAGAGGGCAGCCCTGGCAGCCAGTCGCTATGATTCTCCCATCAACTCAGGTGAGAGTAGACCCACCACCTTCCCTGAGCCGACAGCCGGCCACCTACCTGCAAGGGGCCGGCCTTGACTGTCCCCTTTCTGGCAGTGTTCTCCAGGAAAGGAAGTGTGGGAAACCCACTCCATGCCAACATAGGTTATAGGCATGTCCTGGCTCTTCCTTACATATGGGGTTCCTTTCTGCTGCAAGTGGGGAGCCCTGAGAGGAAAGACCTCAAGGACACGAGGGTTCAGGTTAGAATAGTCATGAAGAGGGAGACAGCATACAGGGAATCCACAGAGAGCATCAACTAGACTTTCGAAGCATTGCAACTTCACATTAATGTGTTCAGTACAAAGCTGAAGACTCACGGTGTTATGTTTGACACTTTTGAAAGACGTTACTTATATATTGTCTCTATCAGGATAGTTTGCTCTGCTTATATTTGTCAAAAGCCAGTTCTCTCCTAACCCATAGGATTTTTTTCCCCTCCCATGTTCTGAAATAGTGCCTGCTTTTCTCCCCTTCTGGTTCCTTTAGAAATGTGTTTAGTGTTTACTGTCTGCAGGCATTTTTGCTAAACATTATCTCACTTCATCTTCATGGCGTGCCAATGAAGTGGGCAATATTATTATCACCCCAATTTTGCAGCTCAGGTATAGGAAATTTGAGTAACTTGCCCAAGGTCACGTCGCTAATAACTAGCAGAACCCAGATTTAGGAGTCCAAGAATCATAACCCCAGAGCCCATGGCAACCTCTCAGATGCCCACCTGGCATTGACCTTGGACTGGGTGGTTACTAATCTTCAGAGTCTTATCAACTCCTCGATTATGCTCTGTAAGAATATGTAGCGCTAGACCCACGTGGGTCAAGAAATGAAGACTTAAAAAGATGAAGTGCTTGCCCAGAGTACAGCGGCATCAAGTTGCAGACCCAGATTCAGGTCCAGGTCTGCCTTCCCCAAAGTCAGCATCATGAGGCATCCAACCCAGGCCTCCCCGGAGTCCAATCCGACTGATACCTTACATGGCTGACTTTTGGCTCAGTGTTTGGCTGAGGCATGGGCCTATGCATCCAAAGAGCCCTGGGTTCAAATCGTTGCTTGGCTATTTACAAGCTGAGCGACTTAGGGCAAGATACTGAACTTTCCTCGGCCCCTATTTCTTCTCCTGCAAAATGGAAAAATAACAACAGCATTGTTAGGCTTGTATCAAGGACTCAGAGATAAAGAATCCCAGCCCTCCTCTGTAATATCACCCCCCGCCCATTCTCTGCATCACCTCATGAGCTGGTGTTGTGTGAATATTTCAGCCCAATATTATTTGAATTATTTTTTTCTAAATCTTTTATTCTGCAAGATAGAAGATACGCTGCCAATTTCATTGAAGAATGGGATTTCCTGTTTCCTAACAGTTGCTTTTTTACCTTTTTTCTCGCTTAGCTTCACACGTTCTGTCATCTAAAACCTCGTCTCTCCCAGGCTATGGAAGAAACGGGCTCCACCGGGTAAGGTTTCCCCATCCCTCATTTCTGAGTCAGTCGTGGTCCAAGTGCTAGCCGGAACACAGCTGACGTGGTGATCTCAGTGTCAGCACATAATGAAAACCGCAATCTCCCTGATCTCCTCGTAAATCACTTGGAATTACGGGCAAAATATTTCTACCGAAAGAAAAGGAAATTGACTTTGGGTAACAGAATAGCTTGTGTAAGTTTATGGGAAGACTGGTGTGAAGTAAGAGTGATAGATATTTCCGCAATCAAGCAAAACACACTTATGTGAGCCTTTATCTCTGCTGTAAAAAGTATATCTATGGGCAAGCCCAGCTGGGGCGGCTCAGGAAGTCAACAGTTCGATTCCTGGTCAGGGCACATGCTCAGATTGTGAGCTTAATTCCCAGTAGGTGTGCATGCAGGAGGCAGCCCTTTTATGATTGATTCTCTCTCATCAATCTCTATATCTCTCTTTTCCTCTCCCTTCCCCTCTCTAAAATCAATAAAAAATATTTTAAATAAAATGTAAATAAATAAAAAATATTTTATATATATGAAAGTTTTTTGCTACCTCCTTCCCCACATGGAATAAATGTAATTGTGTAACTGTGTGGGGAGACGTTTTACTATGTATTAGCAAGAGGTACTTGCTTACCAAGGACCTGCTGGGAAGTGGCATTGATTGTACTACCAAAAAATAAAGAAATTTCACACAAATAAAAGAAGTAGAAAGGAAATTGTGAGGGCCTAGGAATTCAGTTTGGGAAGAATTCTCAGATTTTGCAAATGCTTTCATCCTTTTCACCTGACTCCCAAGTGATCGCTGTGGACTCGGTGTTCTGATGCTGTTTCTTCTCATTTCAGCCTGTGTCTACAGACTTCGCTCAGTACAACAGCTACGGGGACGTCAGCGGGGGAGCGCGAGGTGAGGGCTCTGCGGCCGCACTGGTCTGACCATGGCTGAGCTCGAGCACAGGCTGTGCAGTGACAAGCACATTAGCTGGGTTCACGCTGCCTTACCTTCCGAAGCGGGATCCCACCGCCCTCTTAACGGAGCATTTGTTAGCATCTTGAAGGATCTCAGTGACAGGAGCCCAGGAGAAGCGAGTTTGTAAGAAGCTAGTTTGCAGTCGCTTCTGCTGTGTACTGAGCACTCAGACCCTTGGAGATACAGTGATGGATGGGCCCGCCTTCCACATGCAGATGCTGAGCCTGTCTGGTGTGGCTCAGTGGGTTGAGCGTCGTCCCACACACTGAGGGCATGGATTCAATTTCCATTCAGGGCACATGCCCGGATTGCAGGCTCAGTCCCCAGTAGGGGGTGTGCAGGAGGCAGCCGATTAATGTTTCCATCTCATCAATGTTTCTCTCTCTACCTCTCCTTTCTTCTCTAAAAAAAAATGCATACAGCTAAGTGAGAGTGAGAGAGCAGCCCTGTGTGATAAATGCTGTGATTGGAGATACAGAGAGAAGGCAGAAACACTTTCATGGCATCGGGGAAAACTTCTGCCAGAAAAGGGTGTTTAACTGATAACTGGCACCTGGGCAGGCATTTCCTGGCGTCAGGGAGGCATACAGGCGGGCACCGTGTACCATACAGAGCGCCAGAACGGGGAGCGGACGTGGTCTTTGGGGAAAGTCGGGGCAGTTGCAACAGGACACAGTCTCGATATTAATGTTCCCGCGTTTCCCTGCTGACCGTTCCTTTTTCTTCCCTTTGCAGACTACCAGGTATGGAGCACTGCCTGACCCTCTGGAGTTGGCCATGCCAGCAGAACAGCCATGTTTCAGTCCAGATGGTGCTGCTACTCCAGGGGAGGGTTTCTGTTGAGAGGATGCTGATTTGGGTTGGTCTGTGGAATCGTTAGTCCTCAGCTGTGCGAAGCCAGGGGAGCAGGCATGCCTGTGCCCAGGCCGCTGTCCCCGCCGGCGGGGCCGTGGCAGGCGCCGGGCCAGTGTGGGAGCCCTGCCTTGCTATGGCCTTGAAGCGTCCTCTCTCGGAGGGGAAATGGGTCAGCATCAGGGTCCGCCCGCGTATACTGTATTTTTCTTTTTTAAAATCTTCATCTGTGGATATTTTCCATTGGTTTTAGAAAGACGGGAAAGGAGAGGGAAGGAAAGTGGGGGAACAGAGAGAGAGAGAGAGAGAGAGAGAGAGAGAGAGAGAGAGAGAGAGAGAGACAGCAATGTGCAAGAGAAACATCCATCAATTGCCTCCTGACCGGGGATCGAACCCCCATCCAGTAGGTGCCCTGACTGGGAATCAAATCTACGACCTTTTTGGCAAATGGCCAAATGGAAGAGATGCTTTGCTACCATTCCTTTTTTCCTACCACTTAAACCTTAAAAATGGTGACAGAGAATAAGAAAAGGAAAAATATGCAAAGAAACATAAGATGAAAATAAGGAATGAACCATCATAAGCTTTGTGGATCGTTTTTTATATCCCATATACTTTCATGCTTGGAGCCTGAAATTCAGGGATGAGTCACTGCCATTCAGCTGGGCTCTCTCCCCAGCTTGTTAGAAAATAGCAGCGATCCTGCTCTTGTGCAGCAAGGAGCTCGTTTTGGGAAGCCCGTAGTGATGCAGATGGCATGTATCAGACGGTGAAGAGGATGTGAGGTCCAGTCAGGCGGACTCATGAACCTGCAGAGGCCTCAGCTCCCCACGCAGCCCAGGGCTCCCCCATGACCCAGCTTCTCTGTTGCAGACCCTCCCGGATGGCCACATGCCTGGCATGAGAATGGACCGCGGCGTGTCTATGCCCAACATGTTGGAGCCAAAGGCAAGTGCGGCTGTCCCCTCTCCTCCCCCACAGGGATGCCTAGCTGGGAGGTAATCCTAGCAGAGACTTGCTTGTCTGTCTTTCACCATCCTCAGTGTGGAGGCCCGCTGGGCTCTAAGCTGGCACCCTAGGCCTGCCATGCCCAAAAGCACCTTGCCACCCGGCTCGTTTCCTCACCCCGAGTCAGCAGCCTCACTCCATGTGCTGCCGCGTGCTCACAGGAAGTGCCAGCAGGTCTCCTGAGACCTCGGTTCTCCTGTGGCCCCTGCCTGAACCTACAAGGCACACCCAGTGCTGAGGGGAGTCTCGGCAGGTTGCTCCGGATGGGATGGCTAGTGTGTCCCAGTTTGCTCAGAACTTTCCCAGTTTTTGCATTGAAAATCTTGCCTCCCAGGACCCTCCTCAGTCCCAGGCAAACAGGGACAGTTGAGACAATCAGTTGCCCTAAATTCAGAGGTGTCCAAGGGCCATGCTCCCTGGGGACCCTGAGCTTAGTCTGTCATCCACCAGAACACTGCTCTGGGTCAGCCTGGCTCCGTGGATTCACGAGCCAGCTTTAGAAGAAGATGGTTAAAGGGTATAGAAAGGTATCCAGTTCTCTTCTGATGTTTACCTTCACCCCAGAACATGGCAACAGAACCCCCAAAGGCACAGGCTACATGGGGCACCGGGAGGGTGGGGTGGGTGCTGTGGGGCACATGTGAGAACCTGGAACCTCCGATGTCCTCATTATACTCTTAGGAGTTCTGTCTGGGGAGTCCTAGAGCTTCGGTAGATTCTGTTTGCTAATAAAATGGTCCACAGTGTTCTAGAAGGTTTTTTTTTTTTCTTCACTTCTCAGATATTTCCCTATGAAATGCTCATGGTGACCAACAGAGGGCGCAACAAAATCCTGAGAGACGTGGACAGGACGCGGCTGGAGGTAAATAAGTAAAAATCTAGTCCCAATTGCAGCTCCCTCCAGCTTTCCCCTAATTGGGAAATGTTTCTGTGAAGGCAAAAATAAATAAATAAAATAAATAAAATAAAGGAGCAACCTCATAATGTAGGTAGAATTTAGTAATACCTTTGGGGGGAAAACCCACATTTATATTTAAAAGATCAGTATTAAGTAACCCCTCCCACCTCCCCAGGAAAACCCAGTATGATTTTAGTCCTTTTCTTTGGAAACTTGGCGTTGCCATAATCATGGCCGGTGGCGTAGAGTGGATTCTCCATCCCTCTCCCGATGGCCCCAGCTCCCTCCGTCCCCAGCCTCGGTTGAGTTCATGGAGAGGGGAGGGAAAGGTCTGAGCAGGTTCTGCCGCTGCTTCCGCATTCCTTGCTGAGGGTTATCCGGGCACACATACCCAAGCCCTCCTTAGGCACGGAGACTGGTCTCTGTATTTTTCCACCTGAATGATTTCAATTAAGGAAGGCCTGGCTGCCAGCCTCCTAGAGAAGGGCTCCTTTTCCCCGACAAAAGGCTGTAGCTTTGCACACAAGGTCAGCCTGGCACAGAGACCCAGGGCTCTTGTATCCTAAGAGCCTGTCTCAAAGGGACAACAGGTGCAAGTTCTCGGTCGTAGGCCAGGCATCCATCCACCTCAACGCAGTGGCTGAGCCAGGGGGAAGCCAGGGCTCCCCACGGCCCCCTTCGCAAGTCTCTCTCTGGCTTTCTTATTGCCGTGGCCCATTTCCTCTGCATCTTCTCAACATCCCGAGGACCTGGAGCAGAGTCCCCTCCAGCATAACAAATCCCCTTCCCGTGCCCATCACCGTTCAGTGCTGTTATCATAATGGTTAGGGCTGCGCCAGGTAAGGAAGAAGGAGGTGGGGTGCCTGCTCACCAGCCGCAGACGTGTGCCCCTCTCCCGTCGTCCTGCCTGGCTCTTCGGGACGATGCCTTGTGATCTGGAGAGCCGCTCCCACGCCGCCTGCATGGGCATCAGGACTGACCGCTGTCTGTCTGTTCTCCCTCCACAGCGCCACCTCGCCCCGGAAGTGTTTCGGGAAATCTTCGGGATGTCCATCCAGGAGTTTGACAAGTTACCTCTCTGGAGACGCAACGACATGAAGAAAAGAGCAAAACTCTTCTGAGTCCCACGCTGGACTCTTCCAAGCCCCACACGTAGACATGCGATGAGGAGGAGGACTGCCGAGGGCGGTGACGCCTAGGATGGCGTATGAAGCTTTGAACTGGACTGGGGAATCTGCAAACTACTGCCCCTCAGCAACAACCAAAAGGGGGAACTCTGGTGACAACACCCACGAGCCAAATACCGGGCCGACCAACGGCAACCCTTGCCAAGAAGCCATGGGGTAGCGATTTCTATGTTCCCACACATGTGACCTTTCTCACCACCTTGTGCACACGACAGGGGCCCCTCTCCGGTTTCCCGTTCACCGTCCAACCGTAGTGCTCACTGTCTGGGTTAAGAGCCAGCAAGTGCCCTTAAGATGCCGCAAGGGGCAAGCAGCTGACCTCCTTCCCAGTCTGCGTACGTTCGTGATGTGGCATATGGCTAGGAAGCGAGGGCCTGGGGGCGTGTCCGTGTGGTGGCAGCCATTGGCACCCCCTCCGCCCCGGCCTCTGGCAGGTCTGCTCCTGCGGGATGGAACCCCGAGTGGGAACCCAGTGGCTAGCCATTTTTAGCAAGCTCCTATTCTCCACTGTCACCCAGGCCCTGGTTTACAAATTACTTTTCTTTTTCTTCATTTGAAGGGGGATGGAATGGAAGGGAAAGCTCCATCACTCGTGTTCCGCTTCAGATAGCATGATTGTGCCCCCTGTTGGCCAGGAAAGGGGAGGGGCAGTCGCTAGATTGGCACAGGTGCACGCTGTTCGGTGATTCTTGCCCAGCGGCCATGGCACTCTCCTGGGCCCTCCTGATGCCAGTTCCCACCCTCCGCTCTGCACCAGGCATCGCTGGATGGAATCTCGCCCACGTTGGTTCTGGGTTGTTGTTTTTTTTCTCTAGAACTTTCCAGTAGTCGGCTAAGAAAAGGCATGGTTTTTGTTTGAAGTCTCTGCAACTCCAAGGTAGATGGCCTGACACCGATTTCCTGTGGCCTTTTAGCTCTTCTCCTTGCTCAGCACTGTTGACCCCGTGTGTGAGTGTGTGTGTGTGTGTGTGTGTGTGTGTGTGCATGTGCACCCACATGCACTGCATCTGCTAACTTATTTTACCAACGGCTCTGCCAGGGTGGACTTGGGCTGGCACCAGACTGCAGTGTGCAGTGCTGCCCCTTCATGTGGATCAATGCTCTTGGTTCATCCGATATCTCTGCTGCCCCCTCCTCTCCGCTTTTGCCCGCGATTAGCAGCCTGTGTGGCCTGGTCCTGGCCTCGCTCTGGCCAAGTGTGGGCCCGGGGACCATGGCGTATTCCCAGCATTCCCCGGCCACCGTCCATTGCCAGGCTCCCGGCGCTGGGCGGTGGAGAGAGCTTGTCACTGTGGGCGGACCACCGGCCCTCCGGGCTTTCGCTGGTTGAGAAGTCAGCCCCGTGCACACGCAGGTCAGCCAGCCACGGGGGGAAGCTGCAGTGGAAGTGAAAGAGCTGGGCCCAGCCCGTGCCCACTCACTCCGCGTTGCTTTTCTTGTCGCTTTGGAGTTTGGTTCTGTGTCCGCCTTGGAAGACAGCAACGCTTCTGTCCATGTCGAGCGTGTGAGCAAATGTGAACTACGCCAGGCAGGTGTACATCACCCCCACGTGCCAGGAGCCTCCTGTTTGCAAGCAGAGCTCTGCCACTCTGGAGAGAGCGGGCATCGAACCCTAACGCAGAGCGGGCTCCCCCACACCCTCCTTGGTGCGAAACGGGCCCCGCATGCTTGTTTGCAGAGCGTCCAGGCCACTGCCCTGCGGACCTGTCTTCTGTGCCTGAGCCCCGCCTTGCACTGCACATACATGTTCCCCGTCAACAGTCACAGGAACAGGAACTGTCCGCTTCGGGGGTGGAATCACACACTTGGCGCTGACACAAGGGCTACGCCTGCACATTGGGCTTCCTTAGGATGCTTTCCACTGGCTAAACATTAGGGGGGTGAGGGGGAGGGGAGGCCTCAGTGGCACCGGGAACAGCAGTGCTTCCTTTAAAGATTCTTCTGGAAAAGCCAGGCTGCCTTGCAGGCCCCCGCATGATGCACAATGAGGCCTGAAGGGCTGGGACATCCCTGTACCGCTAGCTCTGCCTCTGGTTTGCGGGGGCTGAGGGATGGGATGTTTGGGATGCAGCTTCTTCCCTAACAGGAGATACTTCCTTCTCTGCCCCCTGGGATGGGGAGGTGTTTGCAGCCAATAAGGTGCGAAGACAAGAGACACCCGGTGTTTCTCTGTTCTGCCCTCCAGCCACTAGGCCAGCTCCCAGCCAGCTCCCATCCTGTGGTTTCCCAGCTGAGCTTCCCCTTTCGAGCGGTTTGCAGCCCCTCTCCCCCCGCCCTCATCCATCCTCACAGCCAGGGTATGTCCATCACTCTCCTCGGAGACGTTCTTGCTGGAAATGTTTATAAAACCGTCACCTAATTTCTTTACACTTGGAAGCAAACACCTTTTTCTAAAGAATCCCTTCTCAGAGGATTATAGAAACTACACATGCTTTTTGGCTAGTTTACGAAATTCTGATTAACCACTTTGGACTAAATAGGTCTTTCTAAAAACTCTTACGCAAACTTGATGTGAGCAGTCCTCCTGTGTGTGGGAGCGGCAGGGGGCGCTCTCCTTCCCCCTCCCCCCCCCTCCAGCCCCCAGCTGTTGTCCCGCAGGGCTTTCTCTCTGACATCATGAATGAGGGTGGGAGGACCTGACCTCTGACCTCTGTGTCCCCAGCCCTCTGGCCTCCGAGGCAGGCCCCGTTTTTTACAAATCCCTCTTTTGTATTTCTGGCCTCTGTTGGATCAGTCCTTCCTAAGCCAGCCTGGAGTTCAGCTGCTTTTTAAAGTCATTTTCCTTTGGCACCCCACGTGTTGGTCAGAACGCCCCAAAACGCACCCCCTGGTGCTCCTTTCCGAAGAGGGAGGGATGGCTTTGCCCTTGAGGTCTGCGGGGACGCCAGGGCGCAGCGATGGTGTGCATCGAGGGCGCTGCCCGGCGCCGGCGTTACAGTGAGAAGAAGCGGAAGCTTTCACTCTGGCACAGAAGAGGGGCATCGCTGTCCTTCCATTTGCCGCCCGGGAAACGGGGGGGGGGGGGGGGAGGGGGGGGAGGGGGGGAGATGGTGACTGATCCGCTTTGCATATGGATGTTTGTGTTTTTATTGGGCAAGTTTCACGCGTGGCAAGCTCAGAAAAAGGGGGAGGTGAGTAGCTGAAGCTGCAAGACGCTTGCAGCAGGGTCTGTGGGCGCAGCAAGAGGAAAGAAACCCAGCGTTTTCTGATGCTGAGTGTCCCTGGACGGAGGTTGTCACCGTCAAGTAACGTTCTTCCCCAAAGTGTCTCCGGTCCCCTTCTGGAGCCGGCCCGCCAGAGGTGGGAGATGGCCCTGCAGGTGGCAACCTCCAACCTCCAGCAGGCGCTGAGCGCTTGTCCCTGCACCAGCCTGTCTCTCCACCCTGCGGGAGAGTCCACGCCGCAAAACCCGTGTTCTGTGGGGGGGTTACGTGACGAATGTGTGTGTTTTCTGTGAGTCGCTGGCAGTCCTGCATCAGAGTTCTCCCCATTCTTTCTGGCTCGGTGGGGTTCATGGGATTTTTTTTTTTTTTCTCGTGTTGGAAGGTCCGCCGTTCTCCCCGCCCTCCCTCCCCTTTTCTGAGCGAAGGGTGCGGCCGTGGGGGAGATGTGCTGTGTAAAGGATGTGTCGTGTCCCCCGTGAACATGAGCGGGTGTCCGTCTGCACCCCAGGAGCTGCGTGCTGGCCCGCAGAGGCAGCCGGCGGCCCCCGGGCCCGTGCCCCCAGCTCCGGCCTCCTCCTCGCTCCCGCTGCCACAGTACCCTCCGCCCCCCTGAGCTGCCCCCGCGTCTGTTGTACTCACACTTGGTGAATAAAGTGTGTGCTTTGTTCGTACCCGCCTCCACGCGTGGGTGCCTTCCTGTGTGTGCCCCTGCCCCCCTGGAGATCGGCCCCATTCGTGAACGCACCAGCCCGACTGCCAACAGCCAGAAGGAAGTCAGACTCAAACCCCCAGGCCTTGGGCACACGTTTATATTAACGCAGGGAGACGGGTTGGAGTGGGAAAGGCCACAAAACAGCCCTGGAAGACTGGCGGGTGTCGCTCAATGGTTAGAGCATTCACTGGTGCAGAGAGGGGTGGTGGGTTCCATTCCACGGGACAGCCCAGGGCTGTCTATCCAGTTATCCAGACCATCGTGACGAAGTCGACTGGAGGAAAGCGAGTTTTCATCAAGCTGCTGACCTGGCTGGTGTTTGTGCCCTTGTGATGGTGACGTCACGTCTTTTGGACAAGGCTCGGGGCTTGGGGAGGTTTGGGGACAAGACCCTCACCCACAGCTGGAAGCAGGTTATCATCAAGACCGCTGCACAGTTAGTTCCCTGTTGTAGAGCAGAGGTCAGGAAACCCCTCCTGGAGGCCCGTGTCCCGTTAACTTCCGCCTCCAGCCACACCACCGTCAGCACTTGGGTCCGCGGTAACCACAGCCGTGGTTTATCTTCAGTCCTTTTCTTGCGCTCTCTGTGGCATCTGCCACGATTGGTCACCATCGCGCTGAAACTCGATTCCCCGCCTCACACTCTCAGCAAAGCTCACAAGACTGTGTTGGGAGTCCACGGCCCTTGGTGGCTGACCTTTGCTCGCCCACCGCTCAGCGTCCCTCCCAGAACGCCCCACCTTCGAATCCTGCTCTCCAGCACCTCCAACCCACTGAGCATGCTCTGACTGCACCGTGCCCTCTCCCCTCTGCAGCCCGGCCCATGGCGTTTCTCCTGAACAGTGTCCAAGGGTTCGAGGAAGTGGGGCACAGAGAGGGTCCGGCCCCAGGGGAACAGGCAGTGGTAGCATCGCTGTTGGAACCCAGTGGTCCACAGCTCCTTGGAGTTCCCGGGTGAACGTCCCACAGGCTCCCCTGCCCTCAATCAAAGGCAGGCCTGAGACATACCCTCCCGATGAGCCTGTCTTGATGGGCCCATCCCAGCCTGCCCGGTGAAT